CCGCCCCATAAAGGGGACAGACAAGGGGAATGAAGTGACGTTGCACGTGGTCATGGTTGTTGGTGGCCAGACGGGCTGGTCTGGGAGCATTATAACAAACTGCTGATCTACCGTGGGATTTTCAATGGGATCAAACCATCTAAAGAGAATGGTCCATAAAAAAATGAGAAAATATCATTGTGAGCAGCTAGTTGTGTGGAGGTAAATTGCCTAGTTGATGTCAGAGGTTAGTATGAGAATATGGGCAGACTGGTTGGGAGATTGTTAGAAAGGGAACAGGGATACTCCAATAAACCACTTGTTTACAAACCAAGGTATGCATGGAATTACAATCTACTGATCGCACAAACACGTTCAACTTGGGAAGCAGATTGGGCTACTACATGCAGCAGGTAAACCAACACCAAGGTGCCACTCCTGTCAGCTAGGAACAGGGACCGGAGGCTTCATCAAACTTGGATAATAGAAGACTGAATAACGTTGCCGGGTTGTGATGAGTCTGGATTTCCCTAGGGTTGGTGGTGTGTGATAACCCAAGACGAGATACGGGATTGGTTGGAGCGCACCTTAGAAAATCTAACCACGCTTGGCCATCAGCACACAAGCGACATTATATGTTTGTACAGCTCTGGTCAGAATATCGGCAGCAAAAATAAACAAAACGGCAGAATAAACTCCTGCAGCCCTCTCTGGCTGAGAAAAATACTTATTTGTGATTACAGCCCTGGGGATGGATGTTATGCCCTCTCGGGTGATCAGGCAGGCGGGAAGGAGAAAAGAACACTGCTATTACAATTTATCAGTCTAACATATAAAAGAAAATTTAAGGATACAATTTATACTTTCATACGTGCTTTTCTCTTTCGTGCCACTTCGGCAGCGCACTGGAGTTACGAGTTGTGGAGCTTCATGTTTTTTAGAGGAACGACTTTTTTAAATGGGAAAAAATGAAATAAAGTTTCGTGTAGATAATTGTTACAATGGCTGCTTATCAGCGAGGGTCGGAGGAATTGAGCCCAGCGCGTAGCTGAGAATGTACATTTGAACAATGTGACACGGAAATGACGCCGTATGTAATGGTATCGCCCCTCTATGGTGGTGGGATGGGTCACGGTAAATGTAATGTTTAGCGACGTAATGTAGGACGTTACTGTGTTAATGTCTCAGTCGGTTCAGGGTGTTTTTCAAACGCCAGCCATAAACATGAGTAGTGAAGCACTGTCCTTCTGACCGTATTTACTGCCAGGAGAAGGACCTGTGTATACTGTGTGGAAAGCAGTGGTCTCTCCTGCAGAGGTGTTTGACTGCCTGATCTACTGGGATTTTTCACGCAAACTATTCCCTATCTTCTGAGGAAGTCGTCGATATAGTGTAATGTGGGGGTCCAGGGGAGACCGCAGATATAGTAGTGAATGAGGCGGGTCCGAGGAGAGCTAATATAGTGACTGCTGGGGTCGTGGGGGAGCGGAAGGTATGTATAGTGATTGCGTGAGTTCAGGGTCGATGATCGGGATATTATAAATTCGGGGCACGACCCTAGGGGAGGAGCAGATATAGTGAATTCAGGGGTTATGGGTAGAGCGGAATTAGAGTTAATGCCGGGTGTACGGGGGGCTGAGAGCGGATTATAGTGGAGATGCGGGGTTCGGGTAGATGGTAGCGGATATAGTGGAATGCGGGGGTCCGGGTGAGAAAGCGGATTATAATAAATGCGCGGAGTCCGGGAAGAGCAGATATAGTGAATTCAGGGTGCCGCGGTTCGAGGAGAGGGTGTGTATAGTGAATGCGGGAGTCCGGGGACAGCGGAGTAGAGTGAATGCCGGGGTACGGGGAGAGAGCGGGTATAAGTGATTTATATAGTATGCGGGGTTGCCGGGGGAGAGCGGCTTATAGTGAAATGCGGGGTGCCGGTTGGGAGGTAGCGGATATAGCTGCATACATGGCGGGGTTCCGGGCGAGAGGGATATAGTGAATGCGGGGTCCAGGGAGAGTGATATAGTGAATTCAGGGTCAGGGGAGAGCAGATATATGTGAATGCGGGGTCCGGGGAGAGAGAGCGGATATAGTGAATGCGGGGTCCGGGGGGGGAGAGCGGATATAGTGAATGCGGGGTCCGGGGAGAGCGGATATAGTGAATGCGGGGTCCTGGGAGAGGGATATAGTGAATGCGGGGTCCAGGGATGAGCGCGGATATAGTGAATGCGGGGTCGGGGGGAGAGCGGATATAGTGAATGCAGAGACCGGGGGAGGGAGAGCGGATATAGTGAAGAATGCGGGGTCTGGGGGAGAGGGGCATATAGCGAATGCGGGGTCCGGGAGACCGGATATAGTGAATGCAGGGTCCGGGGGAGAGCGGTGATATTAATAAATGCGGGGTCCGGGACGAGTGGAGAGCAGATATAGTGAATTCGGGGTCAAGGAGAGAGGATATAGTGAATGCAGGGTCCTGGGGAGGTAGAGAGGATATATAGTGAATGCGGGGTCTGGGAGAGTGGATATAGTGGAATGCCGGGGCTCCGGGGAGAGCTGATATAGTGATGCGGGGTGTGTCCGGGGAGAGCGGATATTAGTGAATGCGGGGTCCCAGGGGAGAGAGCGGATATAGTGAATGCGGGGTCCAGGGAGAGCTGATATAGAGCATTCAGGGTCAGGGGAGAGCAGCAGATATAGTGAATGCGGGGTCCGGGGAGAGCGGATATAGTGAATGCGGGCGTCCGGGGAGAGCGGGATATAGTGAATGCGGGGTTACCGGGGGAGAGCGGATATAGTGATGCGGGGTCCGGGAGAGCGGATATAGTGAATGCGGGGTCCAGGGAGAGCGGATATAGTGAATGCGGGGTCGGGGGAGCAGGGATATAGTGAATGCAGGAGACCGGGGTAGAGCGGATATAGTGAATGCGGGGTCTGGGGTGAGGAGGGAGTATCGCGAATGCGGGGCTTCGGGGGAGAGCGGATATAGTGAATGCGGGGTAGTGGGGGACGAGGGGAGTATAGCGAAATGCGGGGTCCGGGGGAGAGACGGATATAGTGAATGCAGGGTCCGGGGAGAGCGGATATAATAAATGCGGGGTCCGGGGAGAGCAGATATAGTGATTCGGGGTCCAGGAGAGTGGGATATAGTGAATGCCGGGTCTGGGGAGGGGGTGTGGAGAGGATATAGTGAATGCGGGGGGTCTGGGGAGAGCGGATATAGCGAATGCGGGGTCCGGGGGTAGAGTGGATATAGTGAATGCGGAGTACCGGGGAGAGCGGGACTATAGTGAATGCGGAGGGGTCCCGGGGAGAGCGGAGTATATAGTGAATGCGGGGTGCGGGAGGAGAGCGGATATAGTGAATGCGGGGTCAGGGGAGAGCGGATATAGTGAATGCGGGGTCCGGGGAGAGCGGGATATAGTGAATGCGGGGTCCGGGTGTCGGGGAGAGCGGATATAGTGAAATGCGGGGTCCGGGGAGAGCGGATTAGTGATTATGCGGGGTCCCGGGGGAGAGCGGATATAGTGAATGCGGGGTCCGGGGAGAGCGGATTATAGTGAATGCGGGGTCCGGGGAGAGCGGATATAGTGAATGCGGGGTCCGGGCAGGGTGAGAGCGGATATAGCGAATGCGGGGTCCCGGGAGTTCGAGAGCGGATTATAGTGAATGCGGGGTCCGGGGAAAGCGGATATAATAAATGCGGGGCCGGGGGGGGAGAGCAGATATAGTGAACGCGGGGTCCGGGGAGAGCGGATATAGTGAATGCGGGGTCTGGGGTTTAGTAACACTTTATGCATTAAAAAAGGCGGACCTGCTCCATGTTCTGTAATGTAACACACCATGCCAATCAGTTTTGCAGAGGATTCTGGGCTTTCTGATAGGCAAGCCCTACATTAGCTGCATGCATGTTGGTAGCACTGCGTACAACTAAATAAAAAAAATATATTTTCTCGCTTCTCGCAGGAAAATGGGTGTGTCCTTCAGGCCTTGACAATCCCAGGACAACTCATCAAGGGCAGCAGAAACAAAGGGAAAAAAAGGTGCATTTATGTCTGCGATCTTCCTTGATTTAAAGTTGCTTGAAAGAGAAAAAACAAAAAACTATAGAATCCCCTAAAAAGAAGCCCCTTGGTGTGTTTAAAGCTATAGAGTGGCCCAATATGACCAGAACGTGAGCGCCAAATACATCGAACATCAGTGGAAGAAAGATCAGAGATCCAGCACAACTTACATTCATTCAGATCCTTGAAAGACGGATGTAGGAGCGCCCGAGGAGTTCCATGGTAAAGATTTAACCTGAAAGAGACGAAGTGAAAATATTAGTTAGTCCTCAATTAGTCCGCGTTTTTGCAGCGGCTGTTTGTGGCTTTTGGCGGGTTTTTTTTCCACAGAAAGTAAACCCCCCCCCAGCATCAATTAAATGGGGGGTGCACGCCTGCGCTGCCAAATATCCTCACAAGGGATGAAGTAGCTGCTAACACCCGAAGGAAATGAGATGAAAAAAAATGATTTTGAACAAAATGGTGTAGCGCTGTAAATACTAAAATACCATATTGTGAAATATATATATAAATAATATGAAAGTGAAAGACTATTAAATAAACCTCGTGTATCCTTGTTACCTTCATTACAGGTGAAATACATTCCAAAGTAAATATAAAATCAAAGTGACCGATTATAAAAACCGTGACATATATCAATGGATATAAATAAATAAATAAAAGTCCCAACAAGTGAAAAAAATAATTATAGCACAAAAAATATATATAATATAAAAAATCCAGATTTTTCAATTCTTCAACTTTTATATTCCCACTTTTTGTTGCTCATATTTATGGTGCCAATTTTATCCATCACCTTCTGGTGTGTGCGCTCACCTCAAAAAATTCGACCCTCAAGGAGTCATAGAGAAATCAATATCCCCGGATGATCCCTGGTTGGATGGATCTCTCCCTTTAAGTGGACGCAGGAACAGCTCCCATCGAAATCATACAAACGATCAAACACATCTTTAACCACTTCCAGTTCGGACACTTTCCCCCCCTTCCAGTCTGGACACTTTCACCCCTTCCAGTCCGGACACTTTCACTCCCTTCCAGTCTGGACACTTTCACCCCCTTCCAGTCCGGACTCTTTCACTCCCTTCCAGTCCGGACACTTTCACCCCCCTTCCAGTCCGGACACTTTCACCCCTTCCAGTCCGGACACTTTCACCCCCTTCCAGTCCGGACACTTTCACTCCCTTCCAGTTCCGGACACTTTCACCCCCTTCCAGTCCGGACACTTTCACTCCCTTCCAGTCCGGACACTTTCACCCCTTCCAGTCCGGACACTTTCACCCCCTTCCAGTCCGGACACTTTCACTCCCTTCCAGTCCGGACACTTCCTCCCCCTTCCAGTCCGGACACTTTCCCCCCCTTCCAGTCCGGACACTTTCACCCCTTCCAGTCCGGACACTTCCTCCCCCTTCCAGTCCGGACACTTTCCCCCCCTTCCAGTCCGGACACTTTCACCCCTTCCAGTCCGGACACTTTCCCCCCCCTTCCAGTCTGGACACTTTCACCCCTTCCAGTCCGGACACTTTCACCCCTTCCAGTCCGGACACTTTCCCCCCCTTCCAGTCCCGGACACTTTCCCCCCCTTCCAGTCTGGACACTTCTTTCACCCCTCCAGTCCGGACACTTTTCCCCCCTTCCAGTCCAGACACTTTCACCCCTTCCAGTCCGGACACTTCCTCCCCCTTCCAGTCCGGACACTTTCCCCCCCTTCCAGTCCGGACACTTTCACCCCCTTCCAGTCCGGACACTTTCACCCCCCTTCCAGTCCGGACACTTTCCCCCCCTTCCAGTCCGGACACTTTCCCCCCCCTTCCAGTCCGGACACTTTCCCCCCCTTCCAGTCTGGACACTTTCCCCCCCTTCCAGTCCGGACACTTTCCCCCCCCTTCCTGTCCGGACACTTTCACCCCCTTCCAGTCCAGACACTTTCCCCCCTTCCAGTCCGGACACTTTCCCCCCCTTCCAGTCCGGACACTTTCCCCCCTTCCAGTCTGGACACTTTCCCCCCCTTCCAGTCTGGACACTTTCCCCCCTTCCAGTCCGGACACTTTCCCCCCCCTTCCAGTCTGGACACTTTCCCCCCCTTCCATTCCGGACACTTTCACCCCTTCCATTCCGGACACTTTCACCCCCTTCCAGTCCGGACACTTTCACCCCCTTCCAGTCCGGACACTTTCCCCCCCTTCCAGTCTGGACACTTTCACCCCCTTCCAGTCCGGACACTTTCACCCAATTCCAGTCCGGACACTTCCCCCTGCTTCCAGTCCGGACACTTCCCCCCGCTTCCATTCTGGACACTTTCACCCCCTTCCAGTCCGGACACTTCCCCCCCCCTTCCAGTCCGGACACTTTCACCCCCTTCCAGTCCGGACACTTCCCCCCCTTCCAGTCCGGACACTTTCACCCCCTTCCAGTCCGGACACTTTCCCCCCAGTTCCAGTCCGGACACTTTCCCCCCCCCCTTCCAGTCCGGACACTTTCCCCCCCTTCCAGTCCGGACACTTTCCCCCCTTCCAGTCCGGACACTTTCCCCCCCCTTCCAGTGGACACTTTTCCCCCCTTCCAGTCCGGACACTTTCCCCCCTTCCAGTCCGGACACTTTCCCCCCTTCCAGTCCGGACACTTTCTCCCCTTCCAGTCCGGACACTTTCCCCCGCCATCCCCCCCTTCCAGTCCGGACACTTCCCCCCCTTTCCAGTCCAGGCCAAGTTTCAGCTTTCAGCGCTATCACACTCTGAATGACAATTGCGCGGTCATGCAACACTGTACTCATACAAATTTTTTAGCATTTTTTTGAGACAGATAAAGCTTTATTTTGGTGGTATTTATTCACCGCTGCGATTTTTATTTTTTTTGCTAAATAAATGAAAATGTCCAAAAATTTTGAAAAAAAAGTGTTTTTCTTATAAAAGTTTTCAAATAAATAATCTTTCTTTATAAATCTTGGCCAAAATTTATTTAGTTATCTTTTTAGTAAAATAAAAACAGCCCAGATTAGTTTATAACCAAAAATTATAAGTTTAAAAAAAAAAATGTTTTACATTTTTATTTTAATTTTTTTTTCATTATTTATGTTTTTCTTTTTTTTACATACTGTCACCCTAGCAGTAGGGTCACCATGGTGACACTGCACTACTTGTGGGGGGTGATTTTTTTTTTTACACTGATTGCTTTTACACCCATAAAGGCTGTAAAAGCAATAATTTCTCCTTCTCTCTGGCTGCATTCCTGCAGCCATTAAGAAATACTGTGGGAGCTGTGATTGGTCTTTTTTTTTTCATTAAAAATCGCTAAAAAAACGCAAACGCGGAAAAACATGGCAAAGCGCGAATGTAAAAATGCTAAAAAAAATGCTGAAAAACTCACGTTTTTAACAAGATTTTACACAGCTAACGTTACCAGCATTATTAAAACGCCCCGTGTGCATGGAGCCTGATATCATCCAGAGTTCTATTGCAGGGGTGTGGAAATGAAAAACAAAAAACTACTTGTCCAAGGACTATCCCCCCGGTCACATCAAACCCTATGTGACTGGGCAAACATTCAAAATCAGCAAAGGATCAAATACTTATTTCCTTCACTATATATATTATTTATTTATTTCAGGTACTTCTATGGCGCCGTCAATTTACGCAGCGCTTTACATATATATTGTATTCACATCAGTCCCCGCCCCCGAGGAGCGTACAATCTAAGGCCCCTAACTCACATTCATACATACACATATTAGGGACAATTTAGACAGGAGCCAATTCACCTACCAGCATGTCTTTGGAGGGTGGAAGGAAACCAGAGTACCCAGAGGAAACCCACGCAGGCACAGAGAGAACATGCAAACTCCAGGCAGGTGGTGCCATGGTTGGGATTCGAACCAATGACCCATTTACTGCCAGGCGGATGTGCTAACCACTTAGCCACTGTGCTGCCCCATTATACACAGTTGTGTTCAAAATAATAGCAGTGTGTTGAAAAAAGTGACTAAAGCTGAAAATCCTTCTAATCCTTTTATTTCCATCCACACAAATGCATTGGGAACACGACACATTCTATTCCAAATCACAACATGAAGAAAAATACATCAAATTTGTGTTGTTCCTCTAAAAAAATGGAAGAAAAGTGAATATTAGACGGTTCAAAAAAATGGCCGTGTTTGTATTCTTCTTTACAAACTCCAACATTCACTATATAAACTGAGAAATGTTTGAAGATTTTGCTTTCCTTTGAATGACTTCATGAATATTTGGTTGTAGTCGCACTGTTTCTGAGAACTGCTGTACATCTGTGTTGCATGGAGTCCCCCAACTTCTGGCCCCTGTGATCAGGTATTCCAGCCCAGGATGATTGGACGACATTCCACAGTTCTTCTCTATTTCTTGGTTTTGCCTCAGAAACGGCATTTTTGATGTCACCCCACAAGTTTTCTATTGGATGAAGATCCGGGGATTGGGCTGGCCACTCCATAACGTCCATCTTGTTGGTCTGGAACCAAGATGTTGTACGTTTACTGGTGTGTTTGGGGTCGTTGTCTTGTTGGAACCCCCATTTCAAGGGCATTTCCTCTTCAGCATAAGGCAGCATGACCTCTTCAAGTATTCTGATGGATTCAAACTGATCCATGATCCCTGGTATGCGATAAATAGGCCCAACACCGTAGTATGAGAAACATCCCCATATCATGATGCTTGCACCACCATGCTTTACGGTCTTCACAGTGTACTGTGGCTTGAATTCAGTGTTTGGGGGTCGTCTGACAAACTGTCTCCGCCCACTAGACCCAAAAAGAACAATCTTACTTCCATCAGTCCACAAAATGTTGCCCCATTTCTCTTTAGGCCGGTCAATGTGCTCTTTGGCAGATTGTAACCTCTTCAGCACACGTCTTTTTCCCAACAGTGGGACTTTGCGGGGACTTCTTGCAGATAGCTTGGCTTCACATCGGCGTCTTCTAATTGTAACAGTCCTCACAGGGAACGTCACACCTTCTTTCATCTTCCTGGAGCTGATTGTTGGCTGAGTCCTCACAGGGAACGTCACACCTTCTTTCATCTTCCTGGAGCTGATTGTTGGCTGAGTCCGCCCCATTTTGGCTATTCTTCTATCCATTCCAATGGTAGTTTTTCGCTTTCTTCCACGTCTTTCAGGTTTTGGTTGCCATTTTAAAGCATTTGCCATCATTTTAGCTGAGCAGCCGATCATTTTCTGCACTTCTTTATATGTTTTCTCCTCCAATCCACTTTTTAATCAAGGTACGCCGTTCTTCTGAACAATGTCTGGAACGACCCATTTTCCTCAGAATTTCAGAGAGAAATGCACTGTAACCAGCATGTCCAACATTTGCTGCCTTCCTTCCTTAAATAAGGGCAATAATTGCCACCTGTTTATCAAAGAATGAATGACCTCACTAATAGAACTCCACACGGCTATTATTGTGAACACGCCCCTTTCAATGAGTGATTCAATGACACAGAATCAGCAGCATGCATGTCATGACTGTGGGGTCTGTTGGATTTTTATGACTCTACTACACCTGCTAGGAAATTATCTGCCATGTAGAAATATCATTTCCACCAAAAACAGCGATTGATCCGGTTAGTGATGTCTGACGGCTAGTATTCTGAACACAACTGTATATATATATATAAATGAGCTCTGCCAGGAGAGAACGGAGACGCAATCGCAGGCAGGGAATCATCCGATAAATAAATCTGCTTCTTTTACATTATTGGTATTATACATGTCAAGACATTATATAAGATCTCCGGCACTCAAGGCAAACTCTCATTGACTGGCACATGATTAAAATTCTGCGAGTGCCATTGTGACCTCAAAACAAGCAGATTATCATTCATGCTCCACTAACTTAATATCTCTCTAACCAAATATTCTATTAGCTATCCATTTCATTATTCACATCAGCAGAACATTACATAGCACAGTACAGACGTCTCTTCAGAGGGCCACGTCTCCCATAATGATGGTTTTCTCAACAAGATGACTATATTGCCGCATTTATTAAGCCGTTTTTCTTGCAGAATTTCCCTCTTTGGAGGCAACATGCCCAACCGTATAATCATATAGACAATATGCTCTGACATCCATCTAAATGAGAGCGCCGTGTCCAAATGGCGCCCTGAATAACGGCAGTAAATACGCTCAGATGTTCGCTTCAAAGTTCTTCTTTGCAAGGCATACGGAGGGACATCAGCCATATGGGCACTTCCTGGTGCCAGATTTTAGTTTGTGGATTGAAAACCCATGCCGGTTATTAGACGCTTTAGTAAACACTCCGACTTCTGGGCTGTAAACCGACACTTCTTCAAGGCCTGCCCAAGGTCACTGAAGTCTATTGGGCCAAAGTCTTAGGACCAAACGTAAGACGTAGACCAGGGTTCCTCAGCTAGGGTTCCTCCAGAGGTTGGTAGGGTTCCTTGAGCAATGACCAAATTCTGCAAAGTTCCCACTGACACCAATGATCTTTTTAGCTATCTGTTAGGGGGGTAATTCTCCCCAATGACAATTGTAAAGAGCATTCTTCCCACTGACCATCACACTAATGCAGGCCTCAAATTTTCCGCTCACCTGCTCGCTTTCAGCGAGAGTGGAAATAACGTGGGGGCGCGTGTGT